TTTCTTTTGTTCAGCACGCCATCGAGCACAAATTTCTCGTAGACGTTTTCATTTAGCACATATTCCGGCACAATAACTGTTTGTAATAAATCGCAGTAACAACTTTTTAAAAAATGTATTTGATTTTAATTTCTAATATGTACAGGTGAGGATATAAATCCATGAAACCTCGAGTTCTGTAATTTGAAGTTCCGGACCAAGAATAAAGTTGATAAAACACAGAATCATCTAGTGTCAGTTGGTTGTTTGAATGTCCAAAACGTTTTATGTAGGTCCTTGTTACGTCTTTAGTCACTAGCAGTACGTTTTTAATACGTTTTGTACGTTCGACGAACATTCTTAAAACGTTTATGGCACGTCAGTTGGTTGTCTGAACGTCCAAAACGTTTGGTGTAGGTCATTGTTAGGTCCTAGATAACTAATACGTTGCTAATACGTTTTGTACAATCAAAAAACGTTCTTCAAACGTTTCAAAAACGTTTTTAAAACGTCCAAAAGTGTCCACAAATGGCTGTTTTAAAACGTGTATTCAAAACGTTCTCGAAACGAAAGAGGCACGTTCAGAAAACGTTACATTGTTTGCTGGTAATGGGTGTATCAAAAGTATTCACACAAGAGCCATCTGCCAGTCAAACCATGTTCCCACTTGACTTGCTGTTTAATTATCAGCCAGGCATGTTTGTTGCTGTGCCTAATACTCAAAATATGGCCTCAAGCATACTAGAGCTATGAAAAGGAGGTTTGGATAAAAATGGCCGCCATGGTAAGACAGCATACTATCTGCATTTGTTGTTCAAAATGTAGGTCAAATTTTGTTACCAGTGTTCAAATGAACAAACATTTGAATTGTTAAAATTTTATTTTAACAAGAAAAGTTCAACTGCATGCTTGTGTTAAAAACATGGTTCATATTTTATTGATAATTGCCTGAATTTCCAATACAATGGAAAAACACTTAAACAAATGTTCAAATTCTATATCAACAAATTACATTTAAATGCATGCATGCAAGTACAAAGGGCAGATGTCACATTGTGGGAATGCAAATCAAGCAGAGGAGGCTTTGCTGACAACACATCCAAAATGTTGAGAGGATACTCATTTACTTTTTTCGTCACTTTTTTTCTTCAAACTATGTTACCAGTGTTCAAACAAACACCTTGGATTCTTTATTTTTATACTTACACAACTAACAACAAACATCCAAAGGAATACTTTCTTCGTCACTTTTTCTTATTCAAAACTCTGTTACCAGTGTTCAAACAAACACCTTGGATTATTCATTTTTATACTTACACAACTAACAACTAACATCCGAAAGAATGCTAAAAACCAAAGTTTGGAGAACAAGATGGAGAACTCTGGCCAAAAGCTGAAATGACCATGGGCGCCATTCGAGCAAGCGATAAGCCTGGGCAGTGCACGTTAATGCAAAGGTGTGCGTGCCTGTTGCGGCGCCTGTGCATTAACGTGCCTGTGCATTAAAGATACAGTCCATCATTTGTAATTTGTGCATTATGTTCGTTTGATGCAACAAGAGAGTTCAAAATCTAATGAAGGATACTGAGCAACTAACCTGATGAAGTTTTAGCTATGCTTCAGCTGTACATTCCAAGAAAAACAACATTCTTAGATCTCAATTTCAAATCAAAACTTACTGAATCATGTTTTGAATTGTTTTGAATTGCAGCTATACGCAGCGTCGCGCACTGATCCGACGAATTATAGCAACCGCGCGCGCGTGTATGTCGTTCCAATACTTGTGCGCGCTGTGCTGAATAAAAAAACGAACTGCTAATTTAAATTTTCCTACGGTGCTTCTTAAGAATCACCATTGGAAATGCCTTCTTTCGTTGATTACTTCAAAATGACAGCTTCCCAGAAAAAATAACTTCACAGGGAGTTTATTTCCCTTACTATCTTTCAACCAAATTTGTTTTTCAACAAAAATTACGCCAGTTACTTTTCGGATGGCTGCAAATGATGGACTCTGCAGGCTTTAACGCTTGCTAAAATTGCGCCCATGCGATTACAACATTTTACGCTTATTCACGGTGATTCGGTGAAGTTCTCTATCTTGCGCCGCTCTGCAGTGCTAAACGATATTTGCTAAAAACTAATTGTTCAAAATTCATTGATAATTCCGTGAATTTCAATACCAAAACAACTTTTGTACTACGCATCATTTATGACATTTGAAGAAGGCAAATTTGTTATATGAAATTTCCAAAGAAGTTTAATTGATTTAAGGTTAATTTGTCCGTTCAGTTCAACTTAAATTGTAGACTATAGAAATTTTGTGTTTCTCGGCTGATGAAAGCTTTGCTTTTCTGTGGAGTTATTTTTCTATTTCACAGAAGACCTGAACACAAAAGGTTTCATAACCAAAAAGGGTCGAAACTAGTTCAGCATGCAATGCACTGGAAGAAAAAAGACACACACACACAGACACACAAACAGAGCAAATGCACCTACATGTATGAACAAGCACTATGATGAAATGTGTTCGGAGAAACTGGACCATAAAAAACAGGTTTTTTTGCTTTATGTAAGAAAATACACTGCTTGTGGGTATACATACATGAAAGTTGGTGAAATGCTGAATTTGTCCCGAGATTCGTTTAGTTATTTGTGAAAGGTCTCCTGCAAGCCCTTTATTGAGAGGATAAAAAAAGGTAAGGGGTTTGTTCCTTCAATTTTCACATTTCAACAACCACTTAAACCCTTCAGCAGTCATTTCATTATCGTTTGATTATAATTAGTTACTATTAATTGCACAGTGTCAGCCTTTTCCACCTGAACAACCCATTGAGGTATTACTGGTGATTCAATATTTCAATCACCGCAACAGTGCTTGTGAAAATTTATTGATCACTGTCTGAAGTTCTTCTTCAGAAAATTAATAAACAACACTTCTGTTGTTTTCCAACAGCATAGTTGGAGGTGAAAGGATGTCAACCACATCATCAAAGGGATGGGTGTGTTTCTTCTCTTATGTCCAAAATTATTCCCCGGCATGTTTGTTTCGTCTCATGAACTTCAGACGAACTCCATTGACTTGCAAGTCGGTCACCTGCAATTTATTTAAAAACACATATTTAGTTTGCTCATGTTTTGTTTTGCTTCAGTGACATAAATGGACATGCACTTACCACTGCTATGAAAGTGACTGTTGCTCTTTGCTGCAGGTACATTTCTTAAACCTCACAGCAACGTATTGTCTGTGCTTTATCCTACGGGTATATAAACAGAAAACACACATTGGAGTTAAGGCAAATCAATTGTCGTTTAATTACTTGCTTTTTATTGCTCCCTTATCGACTTAACTGGAAAGAAAACAAAAGCTTACTTCTGTGAGTTGGAAGCACAAAGGTCTACTTGTAGGGAGGTCTGACTGGGACCATCCGCAGCAGATGTTCTGACTGGGTCCTGCTGTGGGGTGTCTGCTTTGAGTCCTTCTTCATGGTAGTCTTGACTGGGGTCAACTTGGTGCGAGTCATTAACAGCACTAGGGACGACCTCAGAAGTGTCTTCAATAGGGGTCTCTAAAAAGGAAAAAATGCATTTTATCAGTCATTGATCAATCATGATGCTGCAAAAAAACCCCACAAGTTGAAGACAATCAGTTAATTACCTTCAATCTCCTGATTGCTTCCTGGGGCCTCATCCTTGTCATCAATGCCACTGTCCTCGCCGTCTTCAGCATCTGAATAATGATGATTTTTAAAACAGGATACTGGTAATTTTGATATCATGTACAGTACCTTCCAATGTCAACTTACAATTAACGTTGTTTGAATTGCTCACATTGTTATTAATCAAACCCTAGTTTATCGTACATACAAGAACACATGCCAGCAATTTGGCGTGTTGCCAAGTCTTTGACCTAATTAGCTGGATCACCTCACTCAGTTCCCCAGCCTTCACAGCTGCACTCCATTACCATATTTGGTATGCCAGTGAGAGATTTGCATATGCAAATGATTTGAACAACTTTGAACCAATGAAAAAGTTTGTTTTGTCTTATGTTGCTTAGTGAAGTGAATTGGCCCAAGTTGGCCTGTAAGGGGCCATTCAGAATTTTCAATGTTTCAAAATTTCGACTTTTTTTCCAAATTATTTTGTCCCACCCAGCCACCCCTAATTTCGATTAATAAAAAACTGAACATGTACATGTACATGCACTTGCATACAGTACATGTACTTGAACACCATGTACATGTGTGTCTAGTTCAGTGACGGCGTGAAGTTGTCGGTCTTCCTCTTTTGCACTGGTGACCTTCAGTTTTCTTGCGTTTTGCCAGCTGATATGCTGTTGGGAATGACGGGTTGCAGTTTTGGAAGTCACAAAGATGACCGTGGTTTTGTGGGCTGTGCTCACTTTTGTCACAGTCATTGAGACAGCAGGATCAGATTTCATTTGTGCATTAAATTTTCCCCTCCACCATCCCCTTAACTCCGCCATGTCTCGTTTGCTCTTTTAGTATCTGAAATAATTACGATGGAATGCCAAGTTTTCGTCGGGTTCTGGCAGCCATTTCCCCCTTTCTCATGGTTAAGAGACATTTGTTCACTTATAATTCTTGTTGATGTTCTAAATATTGTACAGTTGCAATAGCGCTCGCTAGGTTTCTGACTGAATGTTACATCAGTGGAAATGCAACTTTTTAATGTTGATTTCTTATTGATGGACATGGATATGGCCTATAACCACTTGTTGTGGTTTACAGGTACATGCATGTACCTTGTAGAATATTGGAATATTGGAATGAATTAAAAGTTTCAAGTGAGTGTGGCATTAACTCTAACCTGCGAGTAATAACATGTGTTTTTGTTATTTGAGTCCGAGTATAATGTGGAGATTTTAGGGTGTTTTTTAAAATGAAGTTTGGAATAATTTGGTGCCTAAGCGGGTTGTAAAATGGAAGTTTTTATAAAAGGTGGTGTTGCGGGTAGGAAAGTTTTCCAGTTCGTTCGTGACGTCATAGGCGTATAATTTTCTTGGTCAACAGAGGGCGCTCTCAGCGCGCCAGTATTGTCACACATTTTTGTTACGTTTGTAGAAATTCGTCAAAAGGTTCCTTTGATTTTTGCATCATTATTCGATACGCCCAATGTTGTGAGTACTTATAATTGTTTAGAGATTTAGAAAAAGGGTTAAAGATAATTGTGTATAAAGGGGGGTAATAATTATGGTCATTAGATATAGTTATTTTGGGTCAACTTTTGGGGATAAAATTTGGGTAGAATTAGCGATGCACGTTTTATACACGTTTACTAAATGCACGTGACATGATTCTCACATCAGTTTATATGGATTACTGTCAACCAAGGTTAATTTTGGAGACTTGGATATTAATTTTAATATAAACATTGATGTACTAAGACACATACATGTAGTTTTTAATGAGGAAATAATTCACGCTAGACACAATTTCATGAGTTTGGGGATCAAATCAGTCAGTTTAATTCATTTAGTTCATATTGCAATTGATTCATTTATATGCAGGTACATTTTGACATAATTTTAGAGACTCATTGTATTTTTTGGTTTTATATTAATTGCAGATTGAACCGCATTCGCATTCGCATTCAACTTCTGAGTGTACAAAACCCGTCACACATTTTGCTATGGTACAATACATGGGAAACAGTTAAATCGTCATCAAAGGAGTCCTTTTTTGTTGTCATCCGTCACATTAAGTTCAATAACAGCGTCATAAATCGACAACATGAGTACTACGTCACCGAGTCATGAAGATGATGTCAAGCCGGAAGATTCGGCCAGTCAGTGCAGCCATACGACAAGCACCTCATCCAGCAGGAGAGCCAGAATGGAGGCCATGGTGAGGAGTGCTGCACTTCAAGCAGAAGTTGAAGCTCTTAAAGAACAACAAGAGCTTGAGCTACAGGAATTGAGGCTCCACCAAAGGAGAACTGAGCTTCAAATGAAAACCAAGCTCAGCTGTGCAGAAGCGGAGGCAAAAGTTTATGCCCAGTTCGATGACGAGAAAACAACCCCAGTTTCTCCATCTCAGTCAACACCATCTCCCCCTGATGAAGACTCCCCATCGCAGCCCGATCCATCACCGCATGATGATGATACAAGCGGTGACACAGTCCCATACCCCATTGAAGATCATCAATCGTCAACGCCGCAAGAAACGCCACCCCCTACCGAAGCCATCAATGAGATGTTGCGACAATCAAAGCAACAGCAGCAGAGCCTCATTGAGACATTGCAGTTACCGAAAGCAGAGCTGATGTGCTACGAAGGAGATCCCCTCAAGTTTTGGGAATTTTGGAGAGCTTTCGAGGTGAATGTAGACAGCACGACAATAAGCAACGCTGCCAAGCTGACAAGACTTCTTCATTACTGCAAGGGGGAAGCACGCAGAGTGATTCAAGCATGCTCTGTGATGGAGTCGACACAAGGTTATGCTCGAGCCAAAACCTTGTTGAAGGAGAGATTTGGAAACAAATATAAAGTTGCTGATGCATGGATGAAGAAAGTCACCCGAGGCCAAACAGTGTCACCCCATGATGGAAAAGCCATCAGAGAAATGGCAGATGAGCTGAAAGTCTGCTACGAAACCCTCCAGGCTATGGGCTACGAAAATGAGATGGCACACCAGAGTTTTCTGAGAGACATTGTTGAGCGCTTGCCCAACTACTTGCGCTATCGATGGGTCCGAAAGGTCAGAGACCTCGAAAGGAAGGAAGATCGAATGCCGAAGGTGAAGGATCTTGTGGCCTACATAGATGATGTAGCAGAAGAGGAGAATAACCCTGTGTATGGTACATCTACTTGGGAGAGAAGCCGTGATGTTCCTCAGAAAAGACGCACACAGCCAAGACAGAGAGGGTCCTTTGCAGTGGCATCTGTACCAGAGAGAGTAGTCACCAGAGAGTGTTCTCTATGCAAGGGAGAACACACCCTATTTGGTTGCCAGCAGTTCAAGGCAAAGTCACCACAAGACAGGCTGAGTTATGCCAAGCAAGAGAGATTGTGCTTCAACTGTCTGCGCAGAGGTCACATGACATCAGCGTGCAGGCTGAACAGGACATGTACTGTTTCTGGTTGTGGAAGGAAACATACAAAATTCCTTCACATCCCGCAGACAATGCAGCAGCATGAAGAAGCAGCGTCCCAAGCCAACACATCACTAGATGCCCCGGTACAGAATGGCTACATTGATTCAGCCGCTGAAGCAAGTTGCAGTAACGTCACAGGGGCCGGCAGGACCGTGCTGCCCATTGTCCCTGTTCGAGTGAAAGCTGCCGGCGGCAGTGTCTTCATCCGCACCCATGCATTGTTGGACACTGGTTCGACAAATACATTCTGTACAGAACACTTGGCACGACAGCTTGGAGTTGAAGGGGCCAAATAAAGGCTCAACCTGACAACACTTGACAAGATGGGCAGCTCCATAGACACCACAAGAGTGAGCTTGATTGTGGACTCGGGACCAGCCACAGACCGTATAGAGTTGCCAAATGTGTTCACCAAACACAAGATCAACATTCAGAGTACCCACATGGCCAAGATGGAAGAGATAGCTGGACTACCCTACCTGCAGGGTATTGACCTACCGTTTGCAGGCGAGAAGGAAGTTGGACTCCTGATTGGTCAAGATATTCCGAGAGCACTGATGCCTCTCGAAATAAGAAGAGGAAAGGCAAAGGACGGACCCTATGCTGTGCGAACGGCATTGGGATGGTCGCTACATGGCCCAGTGAACAAAGTCGGCACAACAGAGCAGAACACTCATGCTACCTCTACCTTCATTCAAGGAGACATCGGCCTGGAAGAACAGGTTCATAAGTTTTGGAAGCTGGAGGCATCCGATACACTACATGATGAAAGAGGCATGTCAGTGAACGACCAAAGAGCTCTGAAGATGTGGAAAGGTGGAATAAGCATTGATGGAGGACATTATCAGTTGCCAGTGCCATTCAAGCGTCATCCTCCATGCCTGCCAAATAATCGGTGGTTAGCAGAACAGAGGTTGCAGAGTCTTGCAAGAAAGCTTGGCAAAGATGACAGTCTCCGTCGTAAGTACCAAGAAGGCATCGAGGACTTACTCAAGAAGGGGTATGCTGAGGAAGTAGAGAAACAAGAATGTCAGTCTGAAGATCAGGCTATCTGGTATCTTCCTCACCATCCAGTTTTCCACCCCATGAAACCCGACAAACTACGCATCGTGTTCGATTGTGCAGATAAGAGCGGAGGTGTGTCTCTCAATGATGAAGTTCTGCAAGGGCCAGATCTGACAAATAAACTTACCGGAGTCTTGCTGAGATTCAGACAGGGACCAGTCGCCTTCATGGCAGATGTGGAGGCCATGTTTCATCAAGTTCGAGTACCAGTGGAAGAACGAGATGTGTTGAGGTTCCTATGGTGGCCATCTGGCGACATGACTCAACAACCAAAGGTGTATAGGATGTGTGTGCACCTGTTCGGCGGGACCTGGAGCCCCAGTTGCTGCAATTTTGCACTGCGCCAAACAGCCGATGATAACCAAGACGAGTTCAGTCCTGAAGCTGTAGAAATTGTGAAGCGCAATTTCTATGTTGACGACTGCCTGGTTTCCGTCGAGTCTGAAGAGAAGGCTGTGAATCTATCGGACGAGCTGAGAAATCTGCTGCAAAGAGGCGGATTCAAATTGACCAAGTGGCTGAGTAACAAACCAAGTGTCCTGAAGTCCATCCCTACTGAAGAACGATCCAAGCAGTTGAAGGGTCTTGACCTAAACCTTGATGCTCTACCTGTTGACAGAGCCTTGGGCGTCAGCTGGGATGTTGAAAGAGACTGTTTGGGATACAAGTTGTCACCTAAGGACAAGCCCCTGACGAGACGTGGGCTATTGAGCATTGTGTCATCAATCTATGACCCCCTGGGATATGCCAACCCGTTCATCCTGAGAGCGAGACTGCTACTCCAGGAGCTGACAAGAATGAAGCTGGGATGGGATGATCCAGTGCCAGAAGAGCACCGACAAATATGGCAAGGTTGGTCAGAAGAGCTAGCAGAGATGAAGGAGTTTGAAGTTAACAGATGTGTGAAGCCACATGGCTTTGGCACAGTGACAGAATACCAGTTGCATCATTTTGCAGATGCCTCAGAGAAGGCTTATGGAGCAGTGTCCTACCTTGTCATGAAGAACACCAGCAGTGAGCTACACAGCAGTCTGGTGATGGCCAAGTCTCATCTAGCGCCATTAAAGACAATGACGATACCTCGTCTTGAGCTTGCAGCAGCGACCCTTGCTGCTAAGCTTGATGTTGCAGTGAAGAGAGAGTTAGATGTACAGGAACCGATCCACTCGACATTCTGGACAGATAGCACCATTGTGCTGCAGTACATTAGGAGTACAGACGGGAGGTTTCGCACATTTGCAGCCAACAGGATAGCTACCATACATAATGCATCAGAAGCAAGTCAGTGGCATTATGTAGACACAAAGTCAAACCCTGCTGATGACATATCAAGAGGGATGTCAGCCGGTGAGCTTAAGAAGAGCACAAGGTGGCTACAAGGACCAGAGTTCCTCCTAATGCCACAAGAACACTGGCCGAAGGAACCACAAGTTATGGAACCCCTAAGACAGAGTGATCCGGACCCAAAAATCAACAGTGAAGGAGTGATGTGCGTTGGAGGGAGATTGAAGAATTCCAAGCTGCAGACACAAGAAAAACATCCTGTCATCCTTCCAAAGAAGAATCACATTGTCAAGCCAATAATTGGTGTATCAATGCTGTATCAGGTCACTCAGGGAGAGAGCATGTTATGTCATTGATGAGACAGCGGTACTGGGTGATCGGAGGAAGAACCACAGTACGACAGGTGTTGCATGATTGTTTTGTGTGCAAACGCCGATCAGCTTCACCCAGCATTCAGAAGATGGCCAATCTACCTGAAGACCGAGTAACCCCTGAGAAACCGCCATTCAACTACGTCGGAGTAGACTGTTTTGGGCCATTTTTGGTCAAGCAAGGCCGAAGTCAAGTGAAAAGATACGGCTGTATCTTTACCTGTTTGGCGATTAGAGCAGTTCACATCGAAGTTCTGCATTCTATGGAGACCGACTCCTTTCTCAATGCCTTGCAGCGATTCATGGCCAGACGCGGTCAACCAGAACTGATCAGATGCGACAACGGCACCAATTTTGTCGGAGCTGAGCGTGAGCTGAGGGAAGGGATTAAACGATGGAACAAGCAGCAGGTCCACGAGTATCTTCTTCAAAAGGGGATCAGATGGAAATTCAACCCACCGGCAGCATCCCACATGGGAGGACCCTGGGAGAGACAGATCAGAACAGTCAGGAAAATTCTGAACACTGTAATGAAGCAGCAAGTTCTGCATGACGAAAGCCTATCAACCATGATGTGCTTGGTTGAATCAGTGATCAACGGACGCCCACTTACAGTAGTATCTGATGACGCGAGAGATCCAGAACCCTTGACGCCAAACCATCTTCTCTTGTTGCGTCAGAACAGCGCATTGCCAGTCGATGTATTCCAGAAGCAAGACCAGTTCAGCCGTAAAAGGTGGCGACATGTGCAGTATCTTGCGGATGTCTTTTGGCGCAGATGGATACGAGAGTATCTACCCACACTGCAGCAGAGAGGCAAGTGGAACGAGCCAGTACGGAACATTGAGGTCGGAGACATCGTTCTCATTGTTGAGGATCAACCGAGAAACCAGTGGTCCTTGGGGAGAGTCGTCGAGATCTACGCTGGTGAAGACAAGCTGGTCCGATCGGCAAAAATAAAGACAAGGTCAACCACACTCGTCAGGCCCATCCACAAGGTATGTCTGATGGAGTCTGCAGAAGCCAAGGAGAGATGAGGTATCAACCTTTATATTGGAGTGCTTTACACCAGTTTTGGAGTACGGAGTAGGCAAGAGGAGAGTATCAGTGTGTCATTTGTGGAATTTACACATGTAAATGATGTCATGCATTGAAGTATGACAGAGGTGCGAGCCTAGCGCCGCCTCTTTTTTGAGCCTTTGAATTGGCCACACTCCACCCTACATGTATCAGGCTGAATCGCACACCTGTGGAGCACCGGAACAAGTCGAGAGAGAAACAGTCATCTCGGACAATCGAACATTTCTGAGTTGGACTGCGCAATCTTCGAGAACATTGCAAGACATATTTTATCCATGATTGACAATGATCAGAGTGCCACTTTAAGTTTGTCAAATCAAGTGATTTTCAGATTTATGCAAGTTGCATTGAAATGTTGCTTAATTGTGTTATAATTGTTGTTATTACTGCATATGATTACTGCCCAAATTGGATCTCATCTTGAAATTCTACTGATTGTGGTAAAACATTTTCAAGACACCGTAGGTATGTGATTTGTATTGCATGTGACAATGTTGCCAATCTCTGAAAATAGTTTGGATTTGATTATGCATGGTTTGAATTCCTTGTGAAATTTGCTACTGCTCAAGAGAAAGTTACAGTGGAATTCTGAGTAGATGAAGCACAATATGCATGTATTTCTATCAGATCTGGAGTCAAGTTGTAAAACAAGCAGTTTTCTATTTGCAGTTGATTTCCCCATGATGGATCAGTTAATGTTCAGCGTATTATAGCCACATGTTAAAATGTTCATGTTTGTTATTACTAAAGTAGCAGTTTTAGAAACTAGTTCATAGTTCAAGTTAAAGGAGCAACATAGTTCAGTGTAATTTTAGTAAATGATCATAATTTAGTATTCTCATTTAAGGGGCCGGGATGTTGCGGGTAGGAAAGTTTTCCAGTTCGTTCGTGACGTCATAGGCGTAGAATTTTCTTGGTCAACAGAGGGCGCTCTCAGCGCGCCAGTATTGTCACACATTTTTGTTACGTTTGTAGAAATTCGTCAAAAGGTTCCTTTGATTTTTGCATCATTATTCGATACGCCCAATGTTGTGAGTACTTATAATTGTTTAGAGATTTAGAAAAAGGGTTAAAGATAATTGTGTATGAAGGGGGGTAATAATTATGGTCATTAGATATAGTTATTTTGGGTCAACTTTTGGGGATAAAATTTGGGTAGAATTAGCGATGCACGTTTTATACACGTTTACTAAATGCACGTGACATGATTCTCACATCAGTTTATATGGATTACTGTCAACCAAGGTTAATTTTGGAGACTTGGATATTAATTTTAATATAAACATTGATGTACTAAGACACATACATGTAGTTTTTAATGAGGAAATAATTCACGCTAGACACAATTTCATGAGTTTGGGGATCAAATCAGTCAGTTTAATTCATTTAGTTCATATTGCAATTGATTCATTTATATGCAGGTACATTTTGACATAATTTTAGAGACTCATTGTATTTTTTGGTTTTATATTAATTGCAGATTGAACCGCATTCGCATTCGCATTCAACTTCTGAGTGTACAAAACCCGTCACACATTTTGCTATGGTACAATACATGGGAAACAGTTAAATCGTCATCAAAGGAGTCCTTTTTTGTTGTCATCCGTCACAGGTGGCACAATAGTGGGTTGAGTGATGTCTTTAGGGAAATATATGTAAAGGTATATGTATAGCTTATACTCAGACTCAAATTAAGCAACCAAGAGACAATTCATTGAGTTTATGCCACAGCCTAAAGTAATGTTTTGTTTTTTCGGACACCAGAATTGGGCATACCGGTTGTCAGTATTAAAAGTTATTAATATTGGGCCACACCATGCCCAAGCAGTAATTGGCATATAATGCCATTTGGCAACACACGGCTCGACCAGATATGGGCAATAACATACCCTGGGCACCAAGGCCCAAAACAGTGGGCATAACATGCCCAAGCTACATGTACATGAGCCAAATGCACTTCAACTTGGTGCTTAAATCACAATTCACACGTGGATTAACACACGATGGCTTCCAACCGATGTTACATTCAGTTAGGAAAGCATTAACACGGGAAACCTTTGAGCGCTATGGCAACAATTTAAATTTGCATAACAATCATACATTATATTTTACATGCCCCAAAATATGAGTAATTCGGTTACTGGCTGTCTGCATCCGCAAAATCGCCACACGCGCCAAGCGCGCCCACCAAGAGAAAGACTGCCAGGAACCCATAATCCACGCATGCCAGAGGACAAGGAGCAAAGCAACTACAGATGGCTAGAAAGATGTGACCAGATAATGCCGCATTCACTCATGGTAGCAAAATACGGTTGCCCGACAGGAAGGAGGGGGTAGAATCCATCAGTCTGATACCTGTACTAAATGCATATGCCATTTCGCCCGACTATGATTGTGTTGGAATGACACTCCGAAACTCACTGGGAAAAGTCCAGCGCCAGAATAGAAAACATGCATATACTTGTATACTTGACAAAGTATATTACCACACGAAAACTCTGCTGTTTTGTCAGGTTTAGTACTAGTAGAATAATTGTTGCATAATAAGTACCCATCAAGTATGAAAATAACGTTAATTAACAAAAAAAAGTGAACTTTGCAAAGCATGACGGCAAGTTGGGTAACCCTCTGTTCTAATGGCACGTAAATGTAGGATGCTAGGCAGAAGCCATAAACCCATAAACCAGTATACATGTAAGCCATAGAGCCAGGGTTCACACCCAAGATCAGGATACGGTTCTAGGAATTAGCGAGGATAACATGTCAGAGAGGATTGCGCTTTTAATTGCAAACTCGCAATGAACCACAGAGTGAACGGACCAGTTGAATTATAACAATGTTTGAAAACAAAGAACTTGGATATCAATATACATACATGTGTGGGCACTTTTATGAAGCCATAACCCGTATCATACCGCCAGGGGTTACGCCCAAAGTCACAATACAGACCTGGGAAATAGCACACGGGGACCACTCAGAGAGGGTACGACTTTTTGTTGCAATTCGTAGTGAACCACTGAAGGAACTGACCAGGTGAATATAACAATGTTTGAAACATTGAAAAAGAATGCCGTTAACAACACATGAATATATGGGCACTATTCTGATGCCTTTACCCGTATCATACAGCCAGGGATCACGCCAAAAGTCACAATGCAGACCTGGGAAATAGCAAACGAGTATCACTCAGTGAGGATACGGCTTTTTAATGGAATTCACATTGAACCACAAAGGGAATCTGACCAGGTGAGTTACAAACAATATTTGAAAAATTAAACAAATACAAAATCGGATAATAACGTTTACGTAAAAAAAAACCTCTAGTCAGAAGCAATAAACCTGTATGTCATGCAGGCGGGATCACGCCCAACGCCAAGATGCTGGAGAAAAGCCAACAGGGATCGCTTAGAGAGGATCGACTTTTATCACGAATTTGTAAAGGAACCACAAAGGGAAACTGACTATGTGATCGAGAACCAATGTTTGATGAGTTAAACAATGAATGATTATATCATGTAGTACATAAATGAATAATCAGAAACACTGCAGAAAGAAACTTCAGACGTGTAACGACATGCAGATCGGCAACGCATGTTCGCCATGTAACTCGGCTATCCCAGCGAAAATTGGGAGGTCAAACCAACAATCTGCACTCCCTATGAGTGATCATCGCCTGCCCAAACTGTTTATCAAGAACAATTATAAGCATACTGAAACTTGTCACAGGACGATGAAAAGTAGATATAACATCTTGATAGTTCATACAATCATTCAATATTTATAATTCAGGTAAAATTGATTTGCCTACATTACATGATCCTAAGGAAACGAGAGAAAAGGCTGCTTATGACGGTTCAAAAGGAAACAAAAGTCGCACTGTGTCAAAAGAATCACATTGTGTACTGCCTCAAATTAAGAGCATGTGGGCAATATGACACGCCGTTTTTAAGTATATATACCGGTAATTACCTTGTAATTGCTCCTACGAAGGGCGAAAACCCAACAAAAAAAACATGTGGGAAAAAAAACGGGAAAATTCCTGTCCAAACCCTGACTCGGCGACCAGGTTTTCTTTGAACCCTAGAAGCAATAACATGTTGCATCGTAAATAGGCGTGACATAGGTAGTGTCTAAACCATATTTGTTATGTTCCCTTGGATCATACAAAATACACCGTGAAAATAGGTACATGTAACTAAGCTTTGATAAGGAGAACACCTTTTTATGTACGTTACTTAGAATTTGAAAAATAAAAATACTTTCAATTGCGAGAATTACAAAAATAGCATAAGCTATTCATTTGTCCACCACTGGCAGACTCAACTTAAACACCTGCTTGGGTTGGTACACGTGTTTCCATTAACACGGCCGCATCGAAGGTATGCATCTTGCATATAAAGGTGCACCAGGGCAAACATTTGAGGCCCGAAAGGACAAATTTTTGGGTCACACCAACATTCGTGTCACATTGTATATATTTCTAGGTCAAACAGAACACTCTGCAGTGATATGATCTGTCTACTAAAACGGGCCCTTCGTTTGAGGAGCCTATATATAGAACAAGAATGACTTCAGAATGAACTAATTACTACTTGACAAATCTATACAAATCAACAGATTAAAGATAATTATTACCAACGTTTGCCTTGCTTCCACTGCTGAAGTGGGTGGTCTACTGATGTTCAAATATATATAACGGATGAATGTATTCAACCAAAATTCAGGCCTGCCAAAAATTAAATATAGATCTCAGTAGGAATTTTCTGTTGGTTGTAGTTCAGTCGAAGCGCCAAATTGTGCAAGGAATTAATAACGTAATATCCACATTTGCTGGCTCCCGTCGATTCGGCGGTCCAATCAACGAAGTGTGCTCCTAAATGAACAATATTCTTGTGACGATCCAGCTTGACCCGACCTTTGTCCCGACAAAGATCAGTTTAATGAGGGCATTATCATAAAGCTGCGAAAAATTCCCTGATGAAACCTAAAGACAGTGAAGTATGAAGTTGAGCCCTAAGAAGAGATCTCTATGCCTGCCCGCATAATGTACTCCCGGTAATTTTAGCTCTTTGAGAACTAGCTCATGAGTTGTCTGAACTTTCCAGGCTTGAGAATCCTGCAACAGCAAAAGACTCAAAACAGCAGTTTTCTGTTGCAAATAGGCCTACATATTATGGTTTTTGTTTGATTAATTTGCCTTTCAAGTGTTTGTGAGTACAGTTGAGTGAGCAAACTTAAACCAATTTAATCCCAGGCGGTGAAAGACCTTTATATGCGCAACTGTAGGGAAACACGAGGGCTTAATTATTTGGTTGATAAAATTAATTGATTGGGACTCTAGTAATCTGAAATGATGAATTGCACGTTGTTAAAACAAAACGGGAGGCTGCCGCAAAACTGCGTGATTAACAGTTTACTAGGTAATTTACTTATAATTTGTTTTTGAGCGTTCGAAGCATTGATTTATGGGAATATTGAAATATGTATGTTAATTGAATTAATTGCCAATATTTTATTGATTGATGAATTTGTTTTAATGACGTATATAACATATTTGTCAAGTGACCATGATTGGTCAACCAGACACGTCCAGCAACCAAAGACAAGCATACACTGGCAACCCTAGTACCATCATGCAACAAAGTTCCGTAGCACAATACTCTTATATAGCCAACAAGAGAGCTTATTCATCCCGGAGGGTGGATAGAAGGGTGATAAAATAGATAACAACTTACAAGTTGTGACATAATTAAAAATGTTACAAGCCTCGAGAACCCAAAAAACCACTTAATGGGAACATTCCCCATTCAATGCAGATCGGGAAGTGCAGTAAAACCAATATATAAGAACACCTCAACATGCTCAAGGCCCATTAATAAATTATTATATATAGTCATGCAAGTACTGCGGTCAATTTGGAATAAAGCAACCTGAAAAAAATGCCACGACCTGTTTAAGCAGTTAAGCTAGCTACTGCGCGACGACTTATTGGTTTTCCTTTTGGGGGGGATTTTTTTTCGTTTTTTTTTTTTGCATAGGCCTATTGTCTAGGCCGATATTAAGGTGGACGGTTTAATTTTATTGATTAAGGCTTGTTCACTATTCAGGCTAATTTATTTATTTCTTTAGAAAGAATTGGGCAAAGACCGTTACACGGTGGCATAAAGCAAACTTTTCAAAAACAAGGGCAACATTGGAAAATCCCACTTTGAGTTCCACCAGTCTGTGCCCGTGGGCGTCGGCTATCCAAGCATGGATTACGTGTACGGGGTAGAACTGCCAAAGAATGAAGCAGTAAGAAGCAGTCAGCTAGCAGCGGTGAGCGGAGCTATCCACAGCCGGGAGTCGGAGGGCCATTGCAGATGGAATTAAAGCATAAGGAAACCGCTGGTTTGGACGGCCCGTACGGATCTCAAGATGGCTAGCTTGTCGGTTGGACTATACTAAAGAGCATGGTGAAACTAGGTAGGATATACCTGGCCTAGTACTTTTTACCCCGGAAAAGGCTGCAATGCCACTGTGGCCGAACTCGCTGAGAGCGCCAGGGGTAGTTGAGCGGGCGAGGCAAGGACTACACACCGGGCCCATCCCGAAGAACTTCGGTCCACACTAGCGCTTCGTTGACAATATATCAAGCGAAAGTAACGGAAAGCCAGCGCATCATGATGCCCACAAACTTAAGCGATGGAAGACGGACCGAATCCAGGCGGTGATAAATTCCAACATTTGATCCAGGATAAAGTCTTAGTTGTAAAACCAGGCGTTCGCAGAATCAGCACAAATTGACCAATCCAGCAGGAAATACAGGTGCAAGTCACAGTTCTCAGAATCGATAATATCCATCAAAGAAATCCAAATGAAGAGTCGCAGTTGAGAAACATTAGATCGTACAAAGACGAGTAAATATTCCAGCAATAAGTAATATAATCAACAACTTTTTAATTCAAGCATAAAGCTTAATGAAAATTGATTGAAAATTGAAAGAACAACATTTTTGTCTGTACACGCTTTGGATGTCTGTGACAGAGTGGCCGTATGATACAGCCCGCCGAGCGCCCAGCATCCCGACACGCACCAACGAATCTGATTGGTTAAACGTTTTCCAGCGCAATTTTGTGCCCTTTGCATAATTATCTCTTATTAGGCGCCGACCCATCTGAGCCTGTGATAACCTAAGTGCGCCATACAAGATATTGCAAAAAGTTCGGTGACCGAGATATGCTCGTTTGTGGGTCACAGGCTGTGCGTATTAGATCAATAGACAGCATGTGCGCACGGAGGCCTAACACCGGGATAAAAGCATTCGCTGAGTATAAGAGCTTTTACCCTTGAAAGGGTAAAAGTAGTAAATTAAATGTTTTTTCAGGGGTGCAGTGGTTCCATGAGACTTTGCTTTGATTATTTTGTAGATTTGTTATGTTCTGTCACTTTTGATTGTCAGGTGTTTGTGACGTCTGCATTTGAGCTGCCGATATATTTTGAGGAGGGGTACTATACAATGCTCCTGTAGTTGGTATAGCTGAGGCACTGGACAGCCCCAGAAATAGGAGGGTGTCCGTCCAGGACACTGTGGAGAGTGTAAGTTGAAAAGAACAATTTGTGATTTAGCTGCCTTTACCACTGTGTGTTGAAATGCTTGACATTAAATAAGGGAGTAAATGTGTGCTCGAGAGGTTTTAATCACTCCGTTTAAGACTGCTTAGAGTCTGTGTGCTGATAATTACCCGAGCCGGAAGCGAGGGTAATTATCAGCACCCAGACTCTAAGCAGTCTTAAACAGAGTGATTAATACCGACCGAGCACATATTTATTCCCATTCATAAATACCTTTTCGGTAAAAAAAAAATAAAGGAATTCGTTCAAAAAATCCCGATTTTGATCAACAAGTTCACTCCAGCTTTGAGAAACATCCCTTAGCAAAATAATGGAGTGTTCAGCTGGCGAGTAAGATGTAAACAACCCTTTTATGGAGATTGACGCGCGCGTAGCACATTCTGCGCGGTGTCGCGCAGAACGCGCCTGGGGCGTTGCGTTTTGAATTTAGAACTACTAGTGCAGTGCCCGTCTAAAATGTGCATGTTCGGGAAACGCAAATTGCTTTGCCGCTGGTATAGGTTGCATCATTGCAGAGTTTTGGAGAACTGCTCGTGCAAACAACGCACGCGATTCAATGGTGTTGGTTTCACAGGTTGAACGCACACTTACGTCAACATTTTTGCCAAGTTTGAAGTTCGACCACCCACAATGGTCGCTCAGTCGACGGCAAAAATAATGTGCCCGTGTTCATACGAAAACATGGTACGCAATGCTATTCTTCCATTGATCCATTACTATTCACCCATACTGGACAATTTATCGCCCTGCAATGCGCGTGCCCGTCCTTTTTGCATTGTTTGCGTCATATTGAGCACGCGCGCTTTAGCTTAAACATGACGTAAAAACAATTGAAAAGAACGGCAGTGCGTGCGGGTGTTATGTTCTAAGCTATATACTGCCACGTTTGCCTCCGAAAATACTGCTTTTTCAGCTTTTGCGAGAACCGCTGGTCCAAACAACTTCAAACTTTAAACTGCACATTCTGTTGTCCCGAAAAATATACCCGCCGATTTTCAACTTCATACGGTGTCCGGTTCTGAAGATAATCGACGGACAGACAGACAGACAGACAGAGATTCCTTGAATTATCTCTACTTTAATTCCAGGAATCTCTGTCGGTCTGAACCGGGCACCGTATGAAGTTGAAAATCGGCGGGTGCATTGCTCGGGGCAACAGAATGTGCAGTGTCAAGTTTGAGGTGGTTTGGACGAACGGTTCTCGAAAAAGCTGAAAAAAGCAGCATTTTTGAGCCTCAACGTGGCAGATTATATACCTAGAACACGCGCAGTCCTTTTCAATTGTTTACGTCAAGTTCGAGCTAAAGCGCGCGTCTTTGTATAGAATAATGAGCCGCGTGTAGAATAATATGCCTCGTCAATCATAGTATAGTGGCTACAAGTACTATAAGGCTGCAGACAATATTTACGTGCAGGATGGTTTATTATCCACAACAAGTAACTCAATTTACGAGGCAAAGTGGAACAGCGAAAACATCGGTGTGACATGTCGTCAGTCGTACCACGAACCGTCGTAACTCAGACTTACCTTGATTTGAGAAAAAAACGGTTTAAAGTTGGGCATGTTTTCAATGACTCATATTTCAAACAAGCAGATTTACAATTTAATCCATTTTATGCAGCCTCGCAGCAGAATAATCGTGGATTAATTAAATACTTATCGTTTGTGTCAACAATCCGGTTGTTGAATGTTATTTTGTTCGGAAATCAAACGTCGTTTTTGTGAAATTATCATTTGCCTGTTTTCGAACACCGCGATTGTGACGTATAAAGTTACGACAGTTCGTGGAACGAAAATGTGGCGATTTTGTCCCAGCGCGTGTGACTTATTCCTACTGCGCATGCGTGGTTTGATGTTATACGTGTACATGTATTGAATTCATGTACTGCGTTTACAAGGGGTGCCAGAATGGCTCAATTTCAATCTTCCCTGGTTGTTTAAGAGCATTATTTCCCCAATATGCACTATTTTGGAGTTGAAAGTCAAGTTATGTTCAAAGCAAGACCAATGATAACATAAAAATAACAGCTTGCCAGTTCCAATGTTACAGGTTCTCATCAATTGTGTATTTTTATTCAAGCACAAAATTGTCTTTACACACTGAAACTCTGTAGCTCAAATTCATTCATAAATTCATTCAAACATTTTTGCTACAATAATTATTAATGAATTACCAATGGCACATGTTACACTGATGCAAATTCCGATTCTTGATGAAGTGACAAACTGAAGTTAACACAATGATTTCAACCAAAGCTTGCAGATTCTGACACTGATATGGAGTGTGTGGTCTTATTGGTGCGGCAAGTGTTTGTAAAATGAAACATGATCTGCATGATAAATCAATGGCGTAGTGCCAGTGCACATCTTCATCAGATCAGCATACTTGTCTTGGGACAGCTTGGGCGGTCCCTTTGGGTATGCCTTTTTAGGACTGATGACCAACTTTTCTTTGCCCTTCACCGATAGCAATGGTAGAAAAGTTCACGTCAGTGTGAGAAAATTTCACCTGGATCTTACTTGGGGAGTTCTTTTCTACCTTCACAGCCATAACTTTAGTCCAATCAACTGGCTCTCCTTCCACAGTTTTGCGAACTTTCAGAATATGCATGTCTCTTAAGAGTTGTTTCCAGTCATGGATGTCTGTTGTTTGAATTTCATTAACTATGTATTGAGAAGGATTTCGGCGAGCCAGTTTGATCAGGGCAGCGAGTTGTGCAGGCAGAAAGATGTCACCAAAGTTTTTCATAGCTCTCTCTACCGTACTATGCATGGCATCGCCCTCACTTTGACCGTGATTTGTTTCAAAGTATGATATTGTCACACTTTTCATCGATTTTGAGTATTTGACAAAGTGCATGAGCATAGCTGGCAAGACTGAGTTTTTGTTTTGGCCACGACACCCATCACAGAAAAAGGCTGCTTCATTTTTCTTTTCCCTGTCTACAACTGTTAAGTAAGAGTACAAGTTTGAAGCAATTTCATTCGATCCACGCTTCGCTAAGCCCTCGTGATGCAAATAGCAGTATCCAGTTTTGCTCGCAAGCTCATACACAGTGAAATTATAGCAGGACAACCTTCGTTGGTAGAAAAGTTCACCTCTGTTAGACCTGGGCAGGTACAAGACTTGCTCCAAGTCAAATACTGATGCCACAAAAGTCTCAGGATTCAAGTGCGCCTTTTCCTTCATCTCTTCTTTAAGTTCTCGAACTTTGCATTTTTCTTGAATATGCTTTTCGTAATCGATACACATCCGCATTTTTTCTTCTTCATTTCCTTTTCTGTAGGCATCACACAACCCACACAAGTCCTTCTTGGGAGAATGGAACTTGAGTTTCATGCTTTTGAAAATCTTCGAGTAAAAACTCAAAGAAGCTTTTCTGCCATTCTTTTTGTGCTCTTCGAGGTACAATCTGTGCATCCTGTTTATGTTTAAGTCTGGTGACAAATACTGATAGCCAGTGTTCGCTCTGCAAAAGTGTGATTCCATTTTAGGAAATCTGTTGATGTGTTTGTGCACTTCATCCGCTAATTGTTGGTCTAGATCTTTTTTCACCCTACCACCTCGCTTCTCTGGTTCTATCACACCCAAAGGCCTTGTTTTTTTAACCACGGTACTGACCTGTCTTTCTGACAACCCAAGCGTGTTCAGGAACATAACCTTACACACTTGTACCTTGGAGCATATTTGAAGTTCTTCATTGAGTGGAAGAAAATATTTCAATTTAATTTTCTTTCTGGGGTTTTTGCTCTGATTCTGTATTTCAAGATGGCGAGAAATCCACTGGCGTTGTAAGCTTAAGTTGCCTAAATCATAAAATGCATGCTGTATTGACTTGCGGTCTGACTCCGTTAATGTCTTGCATGACAACTTTCTTACATCACAGAATGCAGATGAAAACCTTTGCTTGTTTTGTTCTTTTCTTGGCAGGACATACCAATTGGTTTTCTCAGTATAATATGACTCTCCCTGGTTTCGCTTAAATGTGAAATTTTTGTTCCTTGCTTTAGTGCCAGATGGCTGAACATTAGCAGAGAACCCTGTTTCAACTCTCTCTTCCCCATCTACCACATAATCTTCGGGTTGTTTTTGAGATGGATCACTTACACAGTCAATGTTCATTCCCACATCAACTGTGGTCAGCACTTCATCCTGAATCAGTGTGTTATCAGTAGCGCCAACCTCAACAAAACAGGGAGAGTTGTCAATTACAGAGGATGACATGTTATCTACGTATACAGAGAAATACTTATTGTGATTTGAACATGCATCACTTCTAATAAAATGTTCAAAGCACAATAAGCACTGACATTGAGCACATGCGGCAAAAATGTCCTGAAGGCAATGAAACTCTGAACACTGTTCAGATATGTTCATCATCTGGCTTTCCTGGTGTTCACCAGCCTCCTTTGTAGGTGTTGTTGCATTTGGGATGGCAGTGGCAGCCAGTTCAGTGGGTGTTGTTGTCTTGTTCGCGTTGAGGTCTTGGGCTGCATAGAAATTAAAATCACATCAAGGAATTCATTCACATTTGAATGAGATAGATGTAAAGGAAATTTGTAGTGTGTGTGGCAAAAAAGAGGAAGCCAAGAATTAGTGAAAGCTGAGTTAAATGACTAGGTGATTTTGTTTTTACTATCTTCCTACAAAAACTCAAAGCTAAAATTTTGAAATCATTTATCTTTTATAAGATTGTAAACCACTGTGAAACAACTTTTAAGATATTTTACTTGAACTATTCAAATATAAAAAGTGAGTGAATACTCCATTTGGTACCTACCAGTCTGAGACGGTGGACAGACTGCAGCTTCCGATGATGTCATGCTTTCTGCAAGGCACAGAAACAAGCACCACCAAAAATGCTGTGTTATTAGTACTTTGTTTTACTACAGTTTTTATAAGATAGTGCCACAAGCTGCTTTTTTTTCAATGGTGTACTTTCATGCATGTCTATCTCAGGACTGTTAAAATTTCTAGAAGGATAAAAAAACAATGTTGGATGTCAACTAGCCACGATGTGAAGATAAACCGATGCGAAACAAATGAATCACTCATTCAAATATTAACATATTCAGGTGAAACTTACTATTGGTACGTGCCAAGTGTGTCTGCAACTGCATCAATGACATGTCATCCATCTCCTCTGAGTCAGTAACATTTACTTTCCCATTGCCATCAGTTTCATGGAGTGGCTCTGCAGGAAAGAAACAGAACAGGAAATCAACATAAACATAACAAATAATAGCATTTGTCCCTACTTATGAATCATTAAGAAAAGCAACTTCAGGTGTCATTTGGTATCAAGAAGGAGAAACTACATATAGATTGTCAGGCTTGACATCTGCACTCGCCAGAGGACTACTCAAAGATACGCTTAGAATCCTAATTCAGCTCAAGTTCCTTTGATGGATATTTTGGGTAAAAGAAAGATGTGCTATAATGTTGAAGATGTAAAAGATGCTATCTCCATGTGATACTCACTTTGAGTTGATGCCAGGTGTGTCTGCAGCTGTGTAAGTGGAATGTCATCCATCTCGTCCAAGTCACTGTCACTAAGCTCTCCGATAACCTGACTGTCAGAGGAATCTGCAAAACAGTAAATCATCCTATTATAACAATGTTTAATACACATCGAGTTGTCATACTTCTTTGCCATCCTTATCACTTACACACATGGAGTATAAAGATGTACGTACCTTGCTCAGATGTAACATCCACATCACGGAAGGTCTCAGACTCATCAGATGCCTCTACAATTCAAGAACAAAATGAAAACAGAAATTCACTGGGGATGTGTGTGATTATACCAACTGAGAAGAACTTCATTTGATTAATAATGGGGTACGAACATGAGCATTTTAAAGAAAACTTTATTTTGCCATGTTCGATTCCAATTTTAGCTGTACGAGTGCTTCTTTCAAATACCTTGACTTGCTGATTCATAGGCAAGCACCTTGCCCCTCCACCAAGTTCTTCCCCACCTCATCTTCACCCGCTGATGTTGATGTAATAGTCCACGAAAATGTAACTCGCTGGATTTAACTACATTCTTTGTGTGGTCACTCCACTGGACCGAGACATCTTTTGGAGAGGTGCCTGTGACTAAATGGAAAACATTGAGAAACAAAGTTATCTTTAAATTGAAGTACAAACTGCTTTATACATCTATACCGTAAACTGGCAATGTGGTCTTACTTTGAAGAAAGGTCGTTGTTAAACAGGATGTCAATATCTGGAATTTGAAGTTGAAAATTATATTCAAAGAATGCTATTTTGAATCCATTTTTAATGATGACTCTCAGGTAATGTAACTTTTGATAGTACATGTAGCGAGGTAATGCTTTGTTTATATTACATATTTGCCAGAGGATGTAAAATGTGGGAATAGGGTAATCATTTGGAATGTCTATTTTACCAATTTGCATGGGCTATCCCACCCTACTGGCCCACCGATAGGCCCTACTTCAACTCACTGACCAAAGCCAGGCATTGGTCTAGCCAGAGAATATTGTTGTGTTGTTTATTATTATTAAGGCAGGACTATACTCCCAGGTGAGGTTTAGGACAGGGAACAAGAAAAACACCCCAATTATAGACAAGTAAGGGGGCATGGATGCACGTATAAACTTGAAATGTTCCTTATTAAACTGAAACAGTGACAGTGTGCCTGTTTGGGGAGGCCTACATCATGCATGCAAGACTAAAAACATGTATTGTTGTAAGCCAAGACTAAGTAGTACTCAAGTAGGCTACTAAAGCGATCGAGCTTGAGGGCATTATATTTTATTATTTAAAGGGAGGCCGAGTCCAAGAGTTCTAAAAGGATTGAGCGAAACTGCACTATTATATAGGCCTTTACACAAAGTCAAGTAGGCCTACATATGAAACGTCGAATCAATGACTTGCCTAAAGCTAAACCATTCCAATCTTTAGCTAGGGCCTAGGCCCTAACGTTGGCTAGCTCAAGCTTACATCATGTTTTTGGGAGTGTTTTACATTTATTTGCTACATAGAGATCTATAAAAGAAATATACTCACTTCCTTTATTTGTCATGGTATCCGTGGAGGGCAAGGTGTCATTTTCAGCCATTTTAATGGCCTGAAGTTGCCTACTGAGTCAGCCCCAGCAAACTGCAAGCTGCACAGCCGTACGTACGTACGTATGCTATGTACGTACGTACAACGTGTACGTGTGCGAAGCAATGCTTTTCCTCGTTCCCAGCAGAGTCTGCCTTTGTTTAAAAAACAAGCACGCAAGTTCAAGAGTCCTGGGTACAAAAAAGCTAATTGACGTAACCAACAGAGGGCGCATAATAAAAATGACACACTACGTTTCCACATAGTGTCGTAAAAAGATACGACAGTTCGTGGAACGGTTTTTCGTAATTTCTGTGGACTGACAAAGCGGCGTAAATGTATAAGTCGGTTCGTGAAAACAGTTACATTTATATTTGCAGATTTATATTTTTTTCTGATTACCTATATTTCAAAATTACAGCTCAATTTGGTCTAAAATCACCGTAAAATAATTCAGTTTAACATTATTAATGATAAAAATCAAAAATGTCACTTTGCCCAAAATACCAGGATACGACGGTTCGTGACGATGTGATTAAAACGATGAGAAATCTACAGTGCGCGAACTTTGACCTTAGTGTTCACACGCTGTCCACAGAGGGCGCACTAACAATAACACAACAATTTGGCTACTACAGGAGCCCCCTACCAGTGAATGTTAAAGGGAATGTACATCATTGGCTTTTGCTGTAATTTTCAGAAATGAACTATTTGAGAGGTTAGTATAATAGATCAAATATTGTTACACTGACATTTTTTAAGTTTGGTGTTCGAAAAGGTTGGAAAAACCAAGAAAAACAAAAATGTTCAAGTAGTCTGGTTCCCTGACTCCACAAAAGATAACATGGATAAATTTATAGATGATGGAAAATTGTAAGGCAAGGGAACCAGTCTAGCTGGCCTGCACCCGTTCATGAACATGTAACCAATAGCAAACAAAATTTGGACTGAAAAAATTGTATATTTGGAGCAGTAGTTGAAAATAGTTAGGTTTTTCCAACGCTGGTCGGCCGACCACAAAAATACCATTTTCTTGAAAATGACTTCACACCAGGTGCCTTAATTTTACAAGATGCTTGAGACTGTCATTTACCAACATCTTAGTAAGGTATTTCGTAAAAACTTGGTAGTTTTATTTTTCGATGTTTGCAAATGTTGTATATTCCCTTTAATGAACGAAATCTGTTAGTGTCTTAGGCCAATGCACAAGGCGATCTGATCGCGTTCTGGTCACCACAGATGGAGCAATCACTGGTTCAGGTGAGTGAGACAGAGTTGGAGTGTCAGAATTATGCTCATCAAAATAAGCAGGCTTAATCCGATCAATACATACAGTGTCTGTGCGACCAGCAATGTCAATGACAAAGTGTTTGTCTGCGCGGCTGATAACCCTGTATGGTCCGTTATAGAGTTGCTGGAGGGGCTTCGGTACACCATCATAACGCACGAAAACATGGGTACATGTATTCAGGTCCTTCGGCATATGAACAGTTCGCTGTTGCTGTCGACGGGGCGGTGTTGGGTGGAGCGGAAGCCTTGAGCCGGTCAACATAATCTGCTGGGTCCAACAGTGGGGCAGCGCTGTCAGGCTCGAAAAACTGGCCTGGCAGTCTTAGGGTGGTGCCGAAAACGAGCTCAGCTGGACAATGGCCCAAGTCTGGTTTGACAGCAGAACGAATTCCCAGCAGAGTAAGTGGGAGTGTTTCTGTCCATTTCGTGGGATCATCTTGCGCTTTAAGTGAAGCCTTGAGCTGGCGATGTAGTCGTTCGACCATGCCGTTTGCTGCTGGATGATAGGCTGTAGTGTGTATGTGTTTGCAGCCAAGGAGCTTGGTGAGGGCGCGAAACAGGGCCGATTCAAATTGACGGCCTCGGTCAGTTGTCACCGTTGATGGGGTACCGAAGTGGGAAACCCATCTATCAACGAAAGTTCTGGCGACAGTCTCGGCCGTTATGTCGATGATTGGTATGGCCTCTGGCCATCGGGTGAAGCGATCCACAAAGGTGAGTAAGTAGCGGTACCCATTGGATAGCGGTAGGGGTCCCACTATGTCCAAGTGCACGTGGCTGAATCGAGCATCAGGAGTGGCGAATGTACCGAGTGGAGTATGGGTGTGTCGGTGCACTTTCGCGCGTTGACACGCTATGCACTCGCGTGTCCACTGGCGAATGTCGCGATTGATACCTGGCCAGACGAATCGTTCGGTGATGAGTCGTTGCGTTGCTCTGATACCAGGATGTGCGAGGGAATGAAGCGAGTCAAAGACAGTTCTGCGGAGACTACTAGGCACAAATGGACGTGGTGTGCCCGTAGAAGTGTCACAAACGATCTGCGATGTCCCAGTAGTCAGTGGAATGTCTGTGAGATGGAGTGATGTCGAAGCTGTACGAAGTTTCTGCAGTTCATCATCACGTTGTTGCATGTCGGCCATGACATCAATATCGATGGCAGGTGGGAGGGTGGCTGCATTCAGCTGGATCCGAGACAGTGCGTCAGCTGGGGCATTGTCAACACCCTTCACTGCTCGAATGTCCGTGGTGAATTGCGAAATGAAGTCCAGTTGGCGGATTTCGCGTGGAGGGTGTCGGTCTGGTGATGCCTCGAATGCATACGTGAGTGGCTTGTGATCTGTGAGGACATAAAAGTGACGTCCTTCCAACATGGCACGAAAGTGGCGTATGGTCAGGTAAATGGCTAACAGTTCCCGGCCAAAGGCGCTATATCGAGTCTCCGCTGGTTTGAGTTTGCGTGAGAAGAAGGCGATCGGCTGCCAAGCGTTGTCAACTCTTTGTTGGAGGACATCACCAACAGCGACGTCTGAGGCGTCAGTCATGACACATAAGTCTGCATTGGGCTGAGGATGTGCGAGGGTGGCAACATTAGCGAGAGCTGACTTGATGTTGTCAAAAGCCGCTTCAGCTGCGTCAGTCCACTGCAGGCTTTTCGACTGTCCGCGGGATGTCGTGAGATCAGTGAGCGGTTGGAGGATGGCAGCTGCGTGTGGTATGAACCTCCGGTAGAAGTTCACTAACCCAAGGAACTCCTTGAGTTTGCGCTGTGTCGTGGGTCGTGGGAACTCGCGGATGGCTTGTGTTTTCTCCCCAAGTGGGCGGACTCCTTGGGAATCCACGCAGTGACCGAGGAATTCCAAGGACTCCACACCAAACTGGCTTTTCGCTGGGTTGATGATGAGTCCGTGGTCAGACAAGCGATTGAAGAGCTGGAGAAGATGTCGTTCGTGTTCTTCCGCATCAGCACTAGCAACGAGGAGATCATCGATATATGCATATCAGAAGTCGAGTCCGCGGATGACACTGTCAATGAATCTCTGAAAAGTTTGCGCGGCGTTGCGGAGACCGAAGGGCATTCGCACAAACTCATAGAGTCCGAAGGGCGTGGTGACTGCAGTTTTGGGGATGTCGGTAGGCTCCACCGGAATTTGGTGGTAGGCTCGCACCAGATCGATTTTGGAGAAAACCTTGGCACCATGCAGCGATGACGAAAAGTCGTGGATGTGCGGTATTGGGTAGCGGTCTGGAACTGTGCGATCGTTGAGTGCTCGGTAGTCCCCACAAGGTCTCCAGTCCCCTGGGGTCTTCTTTGGGACCATGTGGAGGGGTGAAGCCCAATTGCTGCTTGATGGCCTGATGATACCAAGTTGCAGCATGTGGTCAAACTCCTGTCGAGCAATGTTCAGTCTATCTGGGCGAAGGCGACGAGGACGAGCCGAAACCGGTGGACCGGTCGTGGTGATGTGGTGCGTGACGCTGTGCTTGACTGACTTGTCATCATAGCAGGGTCTCGTGATGTCCGGAAACTGGGCTAGTAGTGCACGGTATGGCGATTGGGAGTCGACTGTTGTAAACATTGGATGAGGTGAGGGTTGACTGCACATGACACCATTGACACTGATATTGGTCGTGGCATCTAACAATCGACAATGGCGCATGTCCACCAACAGGTTGAAATGGCGTAGAAAATCCACA